CCCCAAAACCCCAAAACCCCAAAACCCCAAAACCCCTGTTATAATTAAAATAATTGAAAACTCCAAGCTCTGAAAACCACATTACAGATATCATTATTGACACATATGAGAATCAATATAAATTTAGCGATAAACAGACAAATATTGATCAATGAATTGCTCATCTTTGAAGTCATCAATCTTAAGCCTGGCTTCTTCTCCAATCTCCATAATCTCATTCACCATCGCTGAAATATTATTCTACACTGACGTTAGAATGAAACAGACATAGCTTAACTACACCATAACAAACGTATGTTATTACTAAGGTAGATTTGTGTAATGTTAATTTGAAAGGGGGACTTACCTGTTTCTTCTCAACAAGTCTGAACAATTCTTCACAACTATGGGGTTATATTCCTCACTTACTTCTGATACAAGCGGTTAGATTACTCATAGATTTGGGCTTATCTATTAATTCGAAAGTAATAGTTCCAGGGAAAACTTCTTTTCTTTGAATAAAGGCGATTTTAGAGATAAATAAAAAGGGAATTAAAATTGTGCTTATTTAGCCTACAGTAATAACTTTAGAGTCAATGACAAGTTTATCGAAATCACTATTGATCTTGTCATTGATCTGCTGATACATTTCATCTGTTCTGAGTGTGAATTCCATTTCTCTGATCCTTAATCTTTGATCTTTAAAGTTTTTAATGGCTTTCTTTATGAAGTAGGTCTTTTCAGCCTTAGTTCGCAAAGAGACATCATGATTCTTAGACATATAGAATCTGTATTTGTAACAAGCCTGGATCAAAGTGGCAGCATATTTTCTGTTCAAACTCTAAAGAAAGATGTCAGATGTTAAATTGTCTCAAGATTACTTTTTGATGGTATCTGATGGCATTCTTATACGCTCTTGCCTGGGTAGGCTCAAACTCCAAAGATATTGTAAGTGAGACTATTGCTAGAGAAATTAAAAATGTTCCTAAATAGCAGGCTGTAACACCAATTGATCTTCCTAAGTATGTCATCGGGTAGAAATCTCCATATCCAACTGTTGTCATTGTAATTAGAATACACCACATTCCATTCCAAATGTATGTCCAATCTTGATTTGAAACATGAATATAAGGTAGCTCTGCTGCCCTAAGAGCATATCCAAAAAAGAAGGAAACGATTAGAATACAGATTGTCAATATAGTAAAAGGTCTTTCTTTGAGTTCGCATTTTAAAACAAATTCTGTGCCTCCAAGTATTCTTCAATCATTGAGAACTCTGTCTGTATTTTCTTTGTTATAATAATTAGAATATAACAAGAAAACTCTGATCAAATGGTAGATTCTTAAAAGTCAGACAAGAGTAAAGATCATATCAAGTGAATAAGTCAGGTCTTCTTGTTGCTGAGCTGCAGTCCAGCTGTAATTAACAAAAGGAGGAGAATGAATCAGTCAAATAGTACTTTCAAAAGCTAGCCATTTCCAATACCCTGAAGTGAAGATATTCTTATTCCCGTCAATAAATTCTTTACATTTCAAGAACTGTAAGAGGAGTCGATAATGATTGAAGATAAAGAAAATCAAAAAAGTTGTTGATACAGAAACAACAAATCTAAGGATAGTCGCCTGCGCATTTTCTTCATTTCTCTCTTTATTTCTGCTCAAGGTCCTCTTTGTAATATTCCTCACTGGCAAGAATAGCAAAGATGATTCCAATTGTTGCCAGAACTAATGCAATAAGACTGTTAATCTTAATCTTCTTTAAGATCTTCTTACGGAGCGAATATTTGAGTTTCTCTGGAAGCAAGACTATCTCCATAATTATTTAAATATTATAACTCCATTTGAATTAGTAAAATGGGGTTTTGGGGTTTTGGGGTTTTGGGGG